AGGGGTGTGAGAAGATTCTTGGATCAGACCACCCAGACACTCTAACAAGTGTCGGCAACCTGGCTACGGTGCTGCAAGACTAAGGAAAGTACAGCGGATGTGAGACGATGCACCGACGTGCACTGGAGGGATGTGAGAAGATTCTTGGAGCAGACCATCCGGACACTCTAGCAAATGTCAGCAACCTGACTACGGTGCTGCGAGACCAAGGAAAGTACACTAAATCCGAGACGATGCATCGACGTGTACTGGAGGGGTGTGAGAAGATTCTTGGATCAGACCACCCAGACACTCTAACAAGTGTCTGCAACCTGGCTACGGTGCTGCAAGACCAAGGAAAGTACAACGAATCCGAGACGATGCATCGACGTGGACTGGAGGGACGCAAGAAGATTCTTGGACCGGACCATCCTGAAACCCGATTGAGTGCCAACAACCTGACTACTCTGTTGCTATTGTAAGTAGAGTGTGATGATTCAGAATTGGTGGACTGTGCATGCACGGCAGACGCTTCCAGGAAACACGGAGGATAAGGGTCCGCAATTTGCTCTCCGTGTTCTCCGTTATTTAGGGAGAGTTGCCTTCCCCAAGGGAGACACACCGGCAAAGTAATTAATCGTACTGCGGGTTGTTTGGCCAGATCAGAGGTAACGGGTGTGGGCTACTTATTTCTATCGGGGTGGGTGGCTTTAGGAATCAATATAAGATCAGTTCCGGACAGGGCAGAGCTAGCAAGAATGATGAAATAGAGCCAATTGGTGGCGACTAGTTGAATCGAACTACGGAGGAAGTGTTGGGCATTTTTGCCTTTCTTTTGGATTTTATTTTCTATTGTTTCCTTTCACTTTAACGATGTACTATTTCCTGTTTGATTTGAGATCGTGTACCCTCCCATCCCGTAAACTCTTTGTATTCACTCCTTCGCCGCTTGTGACCGCGGGAAATCACCCGTTTGTTTTCCTTCATTCAACTGCGAGCGCTGGATTCTGATATACAATATGCGTTACCCACCTGCCTCCCATGACCTACTTGCTAACACCATTCCCGGTGGCCTTCCTCTTACCCTGGTGCGGGCGCACACGCTAAGATGTTAAAGGAGCTTGTCGTACTGTACACCTGTCTTCCTGGCGCTCTAGCCAAAGAACGAATGCCATGTCCTGGCCGGAACCGAACAGACTATGAATCACAACTTGCCCACTTCTTTCCACCCCGCAGCGCTAAAGGACCACCGCCCCACCGTGAAAAAAATATCAAAAGCCGCCCATGCTTCTGCAATACTACGGGTAGTGCAGTGGGTTACGGATGATGAGCTGCCATCTAGTGTATTGCGATAAATAGATCCTCACCTGTCCATCATCGTGACAAGAATTTAACCCATCCACCCGGAAGGAGTTGGTTGTTTTTCTTCCACTTGTTTGAGCGATGGGAGATAGATGACATATCCTGATTGGTGAATATGTGGTAGCTCATTATCTTGGGAACTTTTTTGACCGGACAGCTCTCGTTGAATGCCAGGCTTCGGTGGCCGAAATGCCAATAACCGTCTCGGGGGTGGGTGGGCCAGTCACGGTAAGGGGTGTATGCTCCCCTCCGCCACGATGGTGATGTCATGACGTTTCGTTCAATCCGGCACCGGTGACAGCGAGTGTCAGGTATGCTGCTGACTATTGAACCTACGGGAATGGGTTAGGGAACGGTGCCTGACACTTCGATAAAAACCCCAACCGCCGGCGGGTAAGGGAGTGCGAGTTTTGGCGAATAGAGTACCGGTAGCCTGAGTGGGGAGAATTGGCCTCCCTCGCAACGTGTTGCCTTGGCAGTGAGATGAGGGAGGAAAGGATGTTTGGGCTCCTACAGGTGCATCGCGTGCGGCGTGAATTTGGTACGTGTTTATCAGGATTCTGATTAGGTGGGGGTTTTTCAGGCTTGTTGGGATAAATTGTTTTAATCATTCAAGAGTGATAATTATGTTAGCAGGATTGGCGGAACAGAATACTTGATGGTTTTCGGAAGAGGGGGGGGGGGGGTTCGAGACGGGAGAGCAGGTTGCTTACAGTTGAACTTGATGTCTATGAGGCCTGGTGAGCCCTTTGGCAGTGGTTTGTGGCTTATGCTTGGGAGGAGTGGTTTCGAGGAGTGGTTGCGAGATGGGTCTACCCACAGTAGTGTATTGTTTAACTTGTAGGTTTTGGGGCTAGCTTGTTGTATATGCAGGTTCCGAGATACTATGATAGGGTAATACGCTTTGAGCGTGGGATACCGGACAGCTATGGGTTCTTGAGGCCAGGCCGGTCTACCCTCGTAGGAAATAGGAGAATGAATTTGGCACGAAAATTGTTCTAAATTATCAGACAAGAAACTTTGACACCTCTAATCCCTGGTTATCCCGTTACCTACAGGACTTTACTTGTAATCGTATTCGCATCAATGTTGTAATGAAGAGGGGGGAAAAACCGGAATTATACCTTCACATGCTGTTTTCATAGGTATCCTGTGCATAGTGCTGCGCCGGCACCTTAGAGCCTACCCACGATACAACCAACCACCGATGGACATTTTAACTTGCAACACCAGCGCCTACAGACAGAATTTTAAAAATTCCTTCCGGGAAGTTTTTCTAATAGGCTATTAGGACCTATGTACAGAGCGATTTTCTTTTTACTCCTCTAGTTAGGGGGCTTCAAAGTTCGTATCGCAGGGGCGGGAACGCAGTGAGACCCGCCGGGAAACTCCTCCTGCCCAATAATCAGCCAAGACAGTTCGCAACCAGGCACGGGCCGTTGCTATACCCGGACTAGCGTCCTGAATTTGGCTAGAGGCTGAGGGTAGGTTCCATGGTGAAGGCGCCATATTCTAAGGCTAAGAGCCTTGGCGCTAGGACCCCCGGAATTTCTTGGCGGTAGGATTTCTGGTGGTTCCCCCAAAACATTGGACATATTAGGTTCAAATTCGCGGATAGGATTTCTTGAGCTGGAAGTTTTGGTAATTCACTAAGCTCTCTCAATAATACTATTTTTTCTCAGAGAATTCTCTCTCCCTGAATCCCCGTTTTCCGAAGCCCCGGTTCAACCCCCCGCCGAGTTCGACCACCAAAGGTCTGGTTTGCGAGATTGCTCCAATCTATCGTTTCAGACTCGTACCGATAGAGTGGCCGGTGGTGAATGCGCTGTATTAACTGGTTCTAGTGGTTAAAAGTGTTGGACTAGTGCGAGTGCTTTCCATTGGTAGTGCCTATCTCCACAATCCTCCAGTACAGTACCGGTATTGACTGGTGTGACAATAGCCTTTGAATCTGCATCCTGTAAGGGAGGTGAAAGACCCTGATGCTCTACTAAGCTTCATTTTCGCATACTAAATCAATTCCGCAGGTGATTTAGTACTCCAGTAATGATATGTGTCCGGACGGAAAGACATTGGAATTACCGGTTCTACGGGGGTACAGTACTCCAGTACAGTACAGCTCCTAAATTTTGACTACCGGTACCGGTATTTTACTAGCGAGGGATGCTCGTCTATGTGTGTAATCAGCGGCGGATTCAGAGAAAGTTGCCCAATCCGTAGTGAAATTTTCTAAATTCGCGTCAGGTACCCCTGCTAACCGAGCGCACCTTGCTATGGAATACCGATATACTCGAGTACAAAACTTAGAAGCTGTGCCTCCGTAAACTCGCTCGTGGTGTAGGATGACTGTAGCTACTTAACCGGTGCAGGAAAAAATTGCCCTACGGTATGTGAGCCTCAGAATTTTGGGCTGGTGGGATGGAGAGTCTCCGGAAGGGAAGAGGAGGTGGCTTGGGCACATCTTTATGCTTGAGGTTTATGAAGACTCAGCTACGGTACCGGTACTGGTATTGTGCCCCCCCGCGGTTCAGACTTTGGAAGGT